GTCCGTTGGACCCATTCCCGGTTCCAAAAGCTAGTTTCAAACCCACGACTCGCTCTCCACCAACCATCTGGCTGCCGTCCGCAGTGCCCCCATTGGTGACCTTTCTAGCAACATCGAAAAAAGGTTTCCGAGGTTACAACGGTATTAAAATCTTATTTTTGATAATTTGTGGGTTGGAGGTTTTCTGCTAACTACGGGCCATTGTTCAAGGTAATGTGCATGGAAGAGAGGTCCAGGAGGAGGAAGACTGCCCTGGCTTTATAGTCTACTGAATAGTCTGCAGATAGGTAATCCTAATCAGATAGGTAGGTCAAAGATCCGTAATGGGTAGGTAACATAAGAAGATGTTCAAAATGGTCGACATCTTGATAACATCCCAATCTTAAATAAAAACATCTTCTAACGATATTCAACATCTGTGTTGTGACCGACCTAATCGCAAGCGTTAATTTTCATAAGTTAGGTAATTTTGGCGATTTAGATTTATATACCTACTACACTTTTCACATATTCCTATAAGTTGAATTGCGTAGACAATGCTGATCATTATATTTTTCATCGTATTTGTATTTAGTGATTTGAAATATTCGGTAAATGTGTCACCGGAAATCGACTACGTAATATGGCGCTGATTTTGCTTTTCTACCTAACCCTTTTCCTATCAAAGATCGGCAACAATTTTGGCAAATTTTGCACTATGTATGCCCAAAAGATAATAAAGATCTAAATATACAGATATGTCAATCTTAAATGAAAGAATTGAAAATAAGAAATTTTATGTCGTTTACAAATTTTAATGCTTTCTAAGAAATTCAGTGTTTCTTTAAGGTTGATCTGCGCCCTCAATTAATGTGTTTCTGGAACAACAAAGAATGAAAATCTCAAAATCACACATTGTACTTCACAGTAAGATAAAATTAATTGGACTACCGAAAATAAAGAGTCCACTATCGACTAGCTACATTACAAAATAATACCGTGAAGTGAATTCCTATTATTACTACCCTCCTACTATTCTTTTTAAAGGGCATATTGTCCTAACACTAAAATTAACGCGAATACTAATATAAAAATTACCACTAATACGTTATGCAAGGAACACTATTGTTTATAAATACTAAAATAGAATTAACTAAAAACGCCTAAATAGGTTTTTAAAACTAAATAGGTTATAGGTTTTTTATAGATACCTATATAACTTGTAGGGTGTAAATTTTATGACATCGTACTTTCAAAACAAAAGTTACAATATCTACTATTCTGTAAGTTTCAGCATAGCCAGTTCAAAATTCAAACCGATAACATTCTTATTCAGATTTGTTGTAATCTGTCAGTGTTGTACAATTGATATGGTAACCCTGCTAGTATGACGTTTCGTTTCAAGCGTTTCAAAGCCGAAAGTAATGCTATTTATCGATGATAAATATAAATATTACCGATGTTTCAGATGGAGCCACCTCTCTACAATATAATTTTATGGCGGTAGTCCAAGATATAATTCTTGTTTAACGAGATTTTTCACATGTTTATAGTTTATTTTTATGAACGAGAGAGTAATTAGCATAATTTTAAATGGTACCTCCGACCACTCCATGGGCGTGCTCAAGATTAATTGAAAAATTACTTTGAATAATTGTAAAAAATAAATGAATTATTTTAGTGTTATAAAGTGTTATATGTATGTAAACAAAATGAACCTCTTTTATCACACACTATATTAGAACTGACTGGCCTACATTAAAAAGAGTTTTAAAAAATTCACATTTTTTAAAATTTTTAAAAATTACAAAAGAGAAAAAGAGTTTTTAAAACCGTCTAAGGTATGTTAAATAGATGAATAAAAATATTAATATAAAACTTACAGCTACTTGTTACAAATCCAAATCAGATTCAGAAGCTGAACTTTCAGAACCAAGATTTATAATAACTGGCTCGATCATTTTATCAGTAATATTGTCCAGCTTCCACATTTTTTCCTCTTCTTTAATAGTGTGATTTACTGCCTTTTCCCAGTTTTCAGGTTTTACATTATTTACGGCCTCCAAAAACAACTGTTTAACATCATGAATTTTAAAAGTGGTATTTTTTCTTGAAACTTCACTCTTTATCTGTGCCCATACCAGTTCAATCGGGTTTAATTCACAATGATATGGTGGGATCTAAGTACTGTCATTCCACGATTTTTGGCAATTTCATCAATTTCGTATTTTTTAAATTTTTCTTTATGAAGGACACACAACGAATAAAGTTCTTTTCTTATAGATCCGGGATGGTACGTAATATTTTTTGAACTCAGCCAATTCTGCAAGTCTTTTTTTAACCACTTGGTTGTGGGCAGTCCTTCTATAAGTCTGGAGTGATAACTTGCATTATCCATTACTATTACACAGTTCTTAGGAAGAAGATTTATCATTTGTTCGAACCATTCTTGAAAGACATCAGCGTTCATGTCTTCATGGTAGTCACCGGTACGACTTGGTTCAAAAGTTAATAAACCACCTTCAACAAAACCGTCTAAACTGCCAATGTGTACCATTATCAGCCTGCGTCCCTTTCCTGATGGTGGGTTTAAACCAGTAGATAAGTTATTTATAAAAGCGTGCCTTTGACTTGTAACAGTTTCATCCTGCCAAAATTTATTTGGTGTATGACCCTCGTTGATCCATGTTTTATCAAGATACAATATTTTTCTTTTTTGGTTTCTCATTTCCTTTACGGTTCTTAGAAAATGTCTTCTCCATATGACAATATCGCTTCTTTCTAATAAAATAGACTTTCTGGGATTCTTTTTCCAGCGGAAGTCTATTTCTTTTAAAAGTTTCCATAACGTACTTCGACTCATTTCTGGGTAATCCTTATCATCTCGAACTGAGACAAGAACTTTATCCAATGTTGGAAATTCTTGTCTAAAGAAGAATTCATGCACTTTCCGTCGAAGTCCTTCTTTAAAATGATATTCTATTTGAAATTTTGGTTTCCCTGGAGCATTACGTGGCATTTGAAAACTACCACATTTCTCTTCTTTAATAACTCTGTAAATCGTAGATTTCCCAACACCCAACAAGTGTACTGCTAACTAACTCAACGGTCTCATCAACACTTTCACATAAACGTTTGCCTGTAAATAATTTAAAACAATTAAATATTAATGTTTTTTCATTAACTGTTAAAGGACCAATTTTTCGGCGTTTACACGGCACTTCCAAATTTTCCATAACACTAGTATACACAACAAACTGCACCTTGCAACTGAAGTACCTACTTTTAGTGAACTGTTAAGAATTTTGAATACGCCACTTGGACCTTCCTACAAAATGGAAAAACCCACTATCACATTTTCTGTGGAATAAGTTTAGAAGGTAATTATCTAGTCAATTACTGTCGTAGATTCCTGGAATTAAAGAATTAAATGTTTGATTGTTGAAACCCTTATGTTTAAGAAAGTATGCGCGAATCCATGTCATAATTTTACAGTTAATATTTTTTCTGTTACGGTACTGTAATGTGATCTAATTTGGTGCTGTATTTTAAAAGACCTTTTTGAAATATATTATTTCTTGTGAGTTCGTACAACTTAAACTGGCTCTCATTTATCATGTTAAAGTACGCAGAATTGGGCTTCTTTCTTTGTATTCTATGTCAAAAAAGATTGAAACAAGTGGTTGATTTATGGCACTTGCATCTGTTGACCACCCAACGATCAGAGGGCGGTTTGCCCTGGTAGCGATCTCAAGACGGACATTTTGCCATTTCTTCGTCAGACAACGATCGATCGACACGCATCTGGTTCCGGACGGTTCTCGTGCTAAGCCTCGGGACGGCGACGCTAGCGTCGGTATCACGACCAACTCCTCATGCCCAGTGACCAACTCTACAGCTTGGTACGAATTCATCAATAGAACCAAAGGGTAAGTCTATTCTTGTATAAAACATTGATAATAAGTAAACCAGTTTATTTCTAATTTATTTCTAGTTTTACAATTTATAATTGCTATTTTCACCAATTTTATGTATCAACAATATCACATTTTTTCGTTATAATTATTTATTCAATATAATTTAAACCAGCGACTTCTCAAGTTTAATCCTAAACACCTTACTTCGTGGAATGCACTCATTTCAGATAAAATAAAACGTTTTATTTTATCTAAAGAATTAAGCTTTATTTTGCAAATAGGTAGGTACTTATTAAACTTTTATTGGTTATATATAACCAATAAAATAAACATCTTACATTTCTTGCAAATTCATTAGTACCTGTTAACCTCCATCACTCCGACACTGGCAACCTTATTTAGGGATTAGTAACCCTCACAACTATTGTATTCTATTCTGCTCCAACCTTTATACCTGGTGGTCATACTCAATTTAAAATTGAGAACAGTTTAGGGATTTGCATACATAATTTATTGTTTTATTACTCTCTCATACATAAAAATACACTATAGGAAAAAATATTCAACGTTTCATTCCAAATATTTTCCACCATTACAGTTTTACAGTAATATGTTGTTATTAAAATTTTTCCAGTTTCTTACCGGTAGCTTTATTATAAGCCAGAACATATTATTTTTTTGTATTGTGGCGAAACCGTACATTCAAAATTTTTTTAAAAATTCATAAGATTATATCTTTATGCTGTAAGAAAATTAACAAAATTGTATGTTTGGTTTTTCCGCTTTATACTTGGAAAAAAAAAAGTAGTTTTTTTAAGTTATTTTTTTCGAAAACGAAAACATTTGACAACGTTTTCGAAAACGAAAAAACAATTTTTTGAATGTGTAGTTTGTCTTTTGGGGGGTGCAGATCAACCTTGAAGAGATTATAGATAGATGCCCACATTACTGGTTTATTAAAATGACTGCAACATCTGAGAAAAGAAGATTTTAAATAATTTAGAGAAATTCTTCAATAATTTTAAAACTATTTTACACAAAAATATTTGTATTTTAAGAGTAAAACTTGTTTTAAGAAAAAGATTTAAAAATAAAAAAAAATACCTTGTACATGGTTGTCTGCAATTGTAGTCCGCATGATCTCTATCTAAAACGTGACATATTCTTGTACAAAAGTGTCCACATTTTAACTGAGCCTCACATTTCAATGCACAACCGCCTTCTGGTAATTTCAAAAAATCTTCCTCAGATTTGACTTGAGTAATTTCATCCGGGTGAATTTGACACCGTAGCGTTAAATAAGGACCAATTGCTTCTTGTTTTTTAAGAGTGTCTTCTACCTGAGGCCAGATCTGAAATACAGTCATAATATTTTTTGTTAAGTCTGTCTTAATGTCTCGGTTTCGGTTTTTTGCTCAACAATTGTTTTTTAATTTACCCATGTATCATTATTGTCATTAATAAATTAAGTTTATTAATGACAACTTTAACCAAGATAATATAATTTTAAACATACTTTCCAGGTACGTGTTAACGACATTAGTACTACAGTGAAACTTCTCCATAATGAATAGCAACAAGGAAATAATTGTCCGTTGTGTAGAGTTACCGCTTAATCGATTGAAATAAAAAAGAGGTTTCGATTTGCTTGATCTTTAATAATACTTTTCGTACATATTTGCATAAGCATACACAAATAAAACAAATAAAATCCTAATGTAAAAAAAAGAAAGTATTATTTCTTAAAATCAAACCAATTTTGGTTTGTTTTTTATTTTGAACATTATTTGTCACAATTTCTGACTCAACATTTAGAATTACATCAGATATTTTTTGACTTACTCTTGCATCAACTTTACATATAAAAAGTAGTAAGTTTTAGTTCATCGACACTCTCATTGTCGGAAACATTGGATATCTGTTCGTTTTCTTTAAAATCACCAACATAACTAGCTAAGCTTACTTCCGGATTTTCCATTTTCCGTCAAGAGGGCTGCATCAATCTCTAGGTAGTTCAAAAAATTTTTAACTCCATGACTTTCGCAAAGGTTGACAACGGCAAATCATCTTCCAAGCCTCGTAGCACCAGTCTTTCCACACTTTCTTCTCTATTACTCTCATTTTTTACAAAATCGCACTCAATGAAACACTTTTCAATTGTTTTGGTTCAAACATCTCTCTATGCTGCCACAATCCAAATCGACTTCTCCATTCAGCCGTTGATAAAGAACGTTCTATAGGTGATAACATTTTTCTGATCAAAAACTTTCCTGTACAGGGATTTAAAGTTTTTAATTATTCCTTAGTCTAACGGTTGACAATGTGCTGTAGTATTAAGTAGCAAAAATATTGTCGATATGTTAGCTACCTGCATATCCGGATGGGATGTTGCGTAGTCTAGGAATACGATAATTTTTCTTTTTTGACGTTGCATTTTTCTGTCAAATTTGTACAGCCAATCTGTCATGATATCTCTGGTCATCCACGCCTTGTTGTTGTAGTACCAGTCGGAGTTTATTAACATGAAAATTTTTAAAACATCGAGAATTTTTTACTTTTACCAATCACCAAAGGTTTTCCTTTTTCCCCATTTAAATTCGCAAACAATAATACGGTCAGTCATTCATTAGCAGGTTTACCCTCAGTACACTTTTCATTACAACATGCAAAAGTTTTACTTGGTAAGGTTCGATAATACAGACCAGTCTCGTCAGCGTTATAAATATCTTCAGGTAAATAGTCACTTAATAAATTTAACAGTTTTCTTTGCCGCTTTGAAACCTCGTCAAGGCTAAAATTTGCATCTTCTCCAGAAATTGTTCTAAATTTAATATTTTTTAAGTAAAACTTGTCAAGCAACCATTGGAAGCTTTAAAATTCAAATTGAGTTCTTTCGCCGCCTCTAAAGCTCTTTCTTTTATTATCGGACTATATTTATTAATGGGATGTTCTTACTTCTCACTTTACAAAACCAATCGTACACTACAGTATGGATGGCAACACCTTCAGTTTTAATCCTCTTTTCTAGTTGAACATTTCCACTTTCACTATAACACTTTTTTAAACCGGCCTTTTTCTTGAATATGTCACTAACTTGAGTTTTTCCTATTTGAACTTTTCGGCTGAAACTCAATCATTATAATTATTGTTTTCAGATTCTTTTATCACTGATATTTTTTCTTCCAAACTTAAAAACTTTCTTTTAGCCGAAGACATTTTTTTTTATTAAAAAGAAACATTGCCGCATCCACCAACAGGTTATTAGCGGCGATACTCAGTAAACAAAACTTTAAATCTGATACAAAATATTGATTGACCTTAAGTAATTTAATACGTTTTTTAGTGACAGTTTTCTCCTAATAAATCTGGTAGAGTATTTGGTATATTGTTTATTAAACGTTCTCTATGGTATTTTGGACACTCAATTAACAAATGGACGACGGTAAGAGGTGTAGCACATAGGTTACACAGGGGGCTTTCATTGTCCGAAAGTAAATATGAGTGTGTGATCTTAGTGTGTCCTATACGAAGGCGCGTTAGATCCGTTTGAATAAACCATGTAGGTACTAGCCATCGAGCAAAAAGATAAAAGAGGGAATCTAATCGTTATGAAAAGGAGACCAAAAAAGTGGCCTCTGATGGCGGACATATCCGGAAATGCAAAGGCGCTAAATTTAAATTTTCCAACACTTGTTAACAATAGCTGTAAAATATTTTTCAGACAAGAAAGTTTTAATTAAATATTAACGATAATAGTCTAAAAAGTGACACAATTGGTAAAAAACTTCAATATAAATAAAATTTCATGTGACAGTTGGGACAAACAATAACATAACCAAACTAAATTTGACTTCTTAAACAAGGAAAGAGACTGTCTTTCCTTGTTTAAAGTGGCCTCTCAAGATAGCACTTCCTATCTAACAATAATTTTGTCCCCACTACCTTTACAATTCCCTCTTTTATCTTTTTGCTCGATGGTACTAGCACTAGTTTTCCACTGTTGTGTATCTGGTTTTAGCGATCTTAATTTAGATTGCGATAGAAACCATTCGCGCTGCCACTGACCAATCACTTTTTGTTTCAAAAACGTTTTGAGATCTTTACACTTTCACGCACTAATTCAGATTCCGCACTGGTTGCTGCATCACGAGCACTACTGTCTGCCTCTTCATTGCCGATAATTCCTATATGCGATGGGATCCATATAAATTTAGGGTTATGTGGTTCTCTTAGGCGATTTGTAGTTCAGTTTTTATTAGTTGCTCCCAGGGCACAGAATAATAAAAAATCAGAATGCCCACTCTCCATGGAAAATTAAGTACGCGCATTTCGTTCGCGCAGACGTTCCACCATGTTTTAAAGGGAACCAGTGTTGTTTATGTGGTGTGCATAGAAAAATTAACGCGGTTTAATTGACTTACGGCAATCATAGAGATACTATACAATTATATTAACATTGTTAAATATAATAACATAAATATAATATAATTAAACATAAATATAAACAATTACATAACCTCACAAATCATATGTCTGTGTTATGTGTTTCCTTCTAAAACATGGCGCGCTTGCTGAAAAACTTCAAAGGCGGCATCTTAGAGTGGGCATTCTGATTGTTTATTATTCTGTGTTCAGGGGCTGTTTATGATACAGATGCTGTATTGCAAGAAGATAGCTGAGCGAGTCGGTGAGAAACAGAGGTTTTGAAATTCTTGAGAGGTTTGCATGTTTTAGGGCACGGTAAAAAGCAAACAATTCAGCGGTGAAAACACTTGAGCTAGGCGGTAGTTTAAATTTGAAAGTAGACGTTGGAGTAAAAAATGCTCAAACAATGTCATCATTAGATTTAGAGACATCGGTAAAGATATTTGTGCAGTTAAGGTAGTCTCGTTCAAGAATCTCGTTTAGTTTGTTTTTAATTAGTATGTTGTTATTATATTTTTTGGAGAACTCTATTAGAGAGGTGTTGCAATTTGGGATGCTTATTAACCATGGAGCCGGATGTTGGATGTTACAGTGAAATACATTTGGGATTGTTGTATCAAAATTATTCAGAATTAATCTTACTCGTGTGTAATAAGGTTTTCCAGTACGAGGTTTATTTAACAGAAAGTCAAGATTATTTTTAGAAAAAGTATTTTCGAAGAGTGGATGATCCTTATTAGCAGCTACAGAAGAAGCGTGTGAAAGTGTTAAAAGTGCCCGCCTATACTGCAATGATGGTTCTCCAGTTTCAGAATATAAGCTTTCTATGGGTGAAGTGTGAAAAGCTCCGAGAACGATCCGAAGTGCGGCATTGTGGATTGTATCTAGAGGTTTTAGGATACTCTTGGTTTGGACATTGTTAATTGTTACTCTTACATTTCTTATCTTATGGTGCCTATCTGTTACGGATGTTGGACACTAACATGGCTATTCTGACTTTACCCTTACATTAGAATATCGCAATTAAATTAGAAATGTTTACAAAGGATGAATAAATTCTAAAATGAGTTTTTCCAAATCAAACTCGATGCACCTAAAGTACCTAGTTTATATATATTATTACCATAAGTACCTACTTATATAATAATTAGTTTTGTGGTTACAATTAGTTATGTATATATTTGTATTTCCGGAGCCCCAATTTTAATCTTTTAATCGCCTTTATCTGACTGTACGCGGTTGGCAGGTAAAATTGCAATAATTTCTTAAAAAACTGAATGCAAATTTTGTCCGGAGTCATTGTAAATGAGAGTCCGTTGTTCAGAGGTGTCTTCCTATTTACCGACCTATGAAATGTTTCTTGACCTGAAAAGCTGTCCGTTCAGCAGAGATTTCCATTGTGGAGAGGAGGCCGTTAACAGAAGTTTTACTGTAATACTAATTCACGTACTAAGGACATTCAAATATCTCTGACAAGAGGAAGAAAGCAAAAGGATCGTGATTAGAATACGTAATATAAATATAATATACTACCAATAAATGGATTAGTTGAAATTAAATATTAGTTATGAAACATTCCGGCAAATTCAAAAGAAAACCATTAGTTAAAATTTATGACGTGAAAGACATCATTAATTTTATTTACTTTTTATGTTGGTAAATCAAGACGTATGAATTTTTATTAGGATAGGGTCTAATGGGGTAGTGATGTGTCTCACATAGATTTCTTCTTTTGCTAGTGCCTATCCTCTATGGATGTTGGCTACCACAATGGCCCATTGTATTTTACTAGCAGCTGTTCGAAATAGGTCTGTGGTGGTCATACCGGTCCACTATCCCAAATTCTTAAGCAAGGATATTCGGCGGCGTCCTGGTCCTCTATTTCCTTCTATTTTCCCTTCTAATATCAATAGTAGGATTCTGTATT